GATAGAACTACCATATGATCCAGCTATTCCACTGTTGGGTATTTATCCAAAGAACTTGAAAACACCAATTTGCAAAGGTACATGCCCCATGACTTCTTAAATGAAAAAAATATACATCTATTCCCCTCTCCTCAACTTCTGTCTTCTGAGGGCCTAAAAGCAATAATACCCCAGCATCAATAAGCACACTTAGTGCCAAAGTCTTAGCTTCTAAATACCGTTCTCTAATAAAAAACAGAAGAAACCAAGGCTTTTGGAGAAATTGTTGATTCCAGGACAGGAGTAATGAATGTACAAGACAAGCCTGGAAAAGCTTACTGTGCCACAGGTAAGGAAGTGCTTAATGTGCAGGTCAAAAGGAGCCAAGCTGCGTTGACCAAATCTCAGATAATTTGAGCATCAAAATAAATAAGGATGAGGGAGAAGAGACAAATCTCCCATGCAGAAGAATTCCAAATAAATTACGTAATACTGTAATGAAGGGGGAGCATAACAACTTACTCTAGAAATGTGTGCTGTGCACGGTGACTTCCTTCCAAGGAGTCCAGTATGGAAAGGGGAAAAAAGAGCAAATTTACATTGGAGAAACCTGCCAAACACTACGTTTTGGTGATCAAGTTCAACATAAACAATCATAAATTATGTTGGCAGTGTGCACCCTTGCTATGACATGATGAAAATGACACTTTACCTCTGTGATCTTCCTCACAAAAACCCATAACCCCAGTCTAATCATGAGGAAAACATCAGATAAATTCTAATAGAAAGGCATCCTGCATGATACCTGACCAGTTTTCCTCAAAATTGTCAAGGTCATCAAAAACAAGTAGAGTCTGAGAAACTGTCACAGCCAACAGGAGCCTAAGGAGAAATGACAACTACATATAACACAGTATCCTGGAACAGAAAGGACATTAGGTAAAAACTAAGGAAATCTAAATAACTATGGACCATAGTTAATATTAATGTATCAATATTGGTTCATTAATTATAACAAAAATAAGGAGGGCTCTTCTTTATAGCAGCATCAGGACTAATAAATATGGAGGGCTTGAAGGAGTTAAAAAAAAAAATCAACAATTTGTAACCATCATTGTAAAGATGGGTTGCAGCAAGAATCAATAGAAGCTGAACCACAAAGTAGAGTTTAATTAGGAGTAAGATATTTGCTTGGTCTCAAAGAATCTCCTCACAGATTCCTCAGTAGTTGCAAGGGGGAAAATATACAGTGGAGAAACTGGACACCTTGATTGAGTGGTAAAGCTTAACATCACCTTATAATGGATAGACATTCCTGTGCCTCTGGCTGTAATATCCTGAGGACACAACTTCACTTATGTCCTTGTTTCCATAGAGGATGCATAACTTGAATCTAATCACAAGGAAACATCAGACCAAGGTCGATATCGGAATTTGTATTTGAGGAAGATTCTTTGCAAGGGGATGCATTGCTTTGGCGAGCCCTCTTGGTCATAAGGCTGTTGTTACATAATCAATGCAAATATTCCAGACTGTGATTGTAATTCTTATATTTATAAATCAGAACGCTATCGCAACAAAAGATTTATTTAAACATGAAGACATTAGCAGTTTCCTTTGTGGGACAAAAAAAGAATGCAAAGGAGGGAGCGGGTCTAGAGAGCGGGGAGGTGGCGGGAAGAGAGAAGGGACCCTGAGCTGAGGATTGCCCGTTGTTCGGTTTGTATTTATTTCTAATTTAACAAACACTTACACAGCACATTTTTATCAGGCGCTGTTCTAAGCGCTTTTCACAAATTGACTTTTTCAATGGTAATGCTCAGTAATTGGTCTTTATCTCCCAAAACAAAACAAAACACAGATATGACACGAAATAATTTTCTCATAAGTCTTTTTTCTGTTATCAAAGCTCTGCTGCAGTGATTCTCTCCTTCGACAAAAGAACAGGAAACTACAATTACCGAAGGGTTTTTCGTTGAAACGTCGGCAACCCTACTTGGCGATACCAAATGTTCTATTCCCTTTGAAAAGCTTGATTCTTTGTCTCCTAGAAAGCCTTAAAAGCATGCACTGAGAACAGCTATCGTATTCGTTTGGGGTGCCAGGCACTCACGTTCTCCTTTCGTTTATGGGTAAACCCCAGAGAAGGTTGCAGCCTTTTTTCGCCAAACTTAATATTTCTAAATAACTTCCTCGCTCCAGATCTATGAACTCGTTCCGGTCTGCGATTGTTGCCGTTAGTGCGTATCTCACGCAGTGGATTCTGGGAGACCAAGTCTCGTTACGGTGAGGTTTCCAGGCCGGGTGTGAACGCCAGACTTCAATTCCCACAATGCCTGGCGCGAATCCGTAATTCTTGCCGGGGTAACCGTGAGGTGGCCGCCATCTTGCGTACGGAGGGACGACTTGTCGCTGAGGGTTGGGCTTTTAGTCCCTCTGGGTCTTTGCGTTGAGACCGTGTCTCCGCGTTTCTTGCACCTTTTCAGAGGCTCGTGTCTTTGTAGAAGAAGGTTTTATTGGGAGGTAAAGGTCAATGCAGAGCTGTAGTATAAGGTGAGTAAACACCCTGTTTTAAGTGAGGGTGGGGTAGCGGTGGTGTCGTTTTTCGGTTTCTTGTTTCTTCCATTAGCGACTGGGGTTCTTGCCGGCGCTAGGCCGGACCCTTTAGATCAGCCGTAAACATAGAAGCCCAGCGTGAACCTTTCAGCCTTGGACGTCTCTTGAATTCCTAGACCGAACATGTGTCCGGTGGGACGAAGAAACTGGGTGACGCACTTTTTGCCCGGGCTGCCCTCTTTGGAGGTCGGGAGGCCACGGGGCTTAGGTTGTGTATAGACCACGCTCTGTTAACGCATCCCCTTGTTCTTCCTTGGGGCTTTTCCGATATTTCGAATGAGGCATTGAGAAGCTGAGAGGTGACTTGGGAAGGAGCTGTCTCCGGGTGGACTGCATTCTTTACAGTTATCTCTTCCTTCCGCCTCTCTACGGCCTACCTGTATCATTCTCTAGTTCGTCTTTTTTGCTCTTTTCTTCTTCTCTCGCGTTAGAGAGAGGAAGACCAGAGAGCGGGCAGAATGAAGAAGTATTGAGTGAAACAGGGTTTTGCATTGTATTCTTGAGGGTCACTAAGACATTTCTAAGGGAAGCAGAATTTATCTTCTAGATAGACCAACCATCTGAAAAAGATGAGCGCTTTGATTTTGGGAGTTGCCGGATTTGTGTTCTAAACACAATGACATATTTGCGTCATTCTCAGTGCAACTGAAGTTATCTTTTTTTTTTTTCCGCTTAAATTAATGCAGTACACCCATTGGGAAACTACTTTTACGCTGACAGGAATAGGGTGAATAATGACTGGCATTTAATCCAACGTTTGATTGCTAAGGAGATGTGGTTGTCTAAGGTTTGGGAGCTGGATTTATTTACTCCTATTTAAATAGGAAGACATTTAAGATGCAATTTATCACAACTAGTTTGCATATGTGTCACTTTGGTTGGCAGATTTACTCTCCTTAGTACACAGTTGTGTATCTGTATCATCAAAATATGTACATTATTGATTCAGCTTCCCAAACTTACTTAAATTCTTTAAGTTCTCTAAATTCAGAAATGAGTCATTTAGGTTAAAAGTGAGATGTATCTTTTTTTAAAAAAGGATATTTACCTTCAATGAGACTCCTCCCTTAAATCATTGTTATAACAATACTTAAATAGTAAGTGGTTATAAAATTACAATTTTATAATTTTTGTATTCTGGGGAATTGTTACCACGATATGGTTATCTCACAAATTTAAATGTCTTTTTCCATTTTCTTGTTTCCAAAGAAACTTTTGTTTAGGTTTCTAAAATATCAGCTATTAATTATATGATTTCTTTGCTCCTCAGATGCCTTATGGTGAAATTTCTGAAGCCAAATCCTTGGGGCATGGGGAAGAACTAATAAGTGAACCATGCTATAAAAAATTGAAGTCAACCGAAGAGGCTTATGTTTTCCCCCATCAGGGTAGTGCTAATTTTCACAGACTCCAAGAGAAAACTGGAAATGATTGGGTCCCTGTGACCACCATTGATGTCAGAGGACATAGTTGTCCTCGGGAGGACAAAACCAAAACTACAGATTTGCTGAAACCTGTGCGTAATGAGATACCTGATAATAGACCAGATGTTACTGAATCCGTTGATTCACAAGTTTTACAAGATACAAGTCCCCCATTGATATCCAAAGATGATGAGATATATAGCACAAGTAAAGCATTTATAGGACCCATTTACAAACCCCCTGAGAAAAAGAAATGTAATGAAAGGAGGAATCAAGCAGACACTATCAATGGTGTAGCTGGCAAAGGAGGACAAGAAGAGAAACAGAAATTTAACTTCAAAAAATCAGAGATTGACAATGAATTATTCCAATTTTACAAAGAAATTGAAGAGCTTGAAAATGAAAAAGATGATTCAGAAGGCAGTTGTAAGGAACCCAAACCCTCTGAGGAACAACTTATTACATATTATCAGGGCCATGATAATAATCTGTTCAAGTCTGAAGAAGAAAAGAAAAGAGATCCTAGTAATGCTCTTGAGTCACATTGTGGTTATCAACAGTATTTGGTGAATGAACCAGGCAAATATCCTTGTAATGGGCAGGTAATACCTACATTTTGTGACGATTCATTTACTTCCTTCAGGCCTGAATGGCAATCAGTGCATTCTTTTATAGTACCCCAAGGTCCGCCTCTTCCTAGTTTTAATTATCATTTAAATATTCAAAGATTCAATGCTCCACCAAATCCACTATCAAATATCTTCCATACCCAAGATGGCTCTCAGATGCGAAACGGCTATTATGTAAATGGTTGTCATGTTAACTGGAATTGTTTAACTTTTGATCAGAACAATGAATATACTGACTATAGTGAGGGTACCAGTAGTGATCGTCCCTCTAGAAATGGCTACAGTGTGCAAGATGGATACGTGAGTAATGGTTTTTGTGAAACCAGTGAAGGATGCTGGAAAGATCCTTCTGTGGACAAGCATAACGGAACAGATAGGTTTACGAACCAGCAGTTTCAAGAGGAAAAATTAAATAAATTGCAGAAGTTACTTATTCTTTTAAGAGGCTTGCCTGGTTCAGGGAAAACAACGTTGTCTCGGTAAGTAAAGGATACCAAGTGAATACTTGGTAATTCATTACTTAAAAAGCATCAATAATAGTTGTAATCAATGACAAATGCTTTCATGTTTCTAGGAGAAAATCTTTAATTTGTTATACTTGAGAATGGCATCTGACAGTGTAAATATTTAAAAAGATGTTACCTGATAGAGGAAAGGAGATTTGGCATATATATTTATATTTATTTATATTTAGATTCTGCTAAGGGCTTTAAAAATAGGTACACCGTGTATAATTATGACAATGATGAAAGCAAATGCTATTTGAGAACTGCTGGCCTTCCCTTTTAAGTAAGCTATTCAAGAAGAGTTGGACTCAGGGTTAGAAGATTTGAGCTTTAATTTGGTTATTTCACTTTATGGCTTTGGACAGGTTTTGCTAACTTGATAGAGTAATACTTATTTTTCTGGAATTATTGTGAGAAGCAAATGAGATAACCCAAGGAAAGGAATTTTGAGCATGTTTTAAGCACTGTGCTGTGTTCATACCATTGATTGGCAGAGGGAACACTTTTTTGGTTTCTTTAAGGAGTTTGAAGTGAGCAATATCTGAGTTAATGGAGTAGAACTGGTGACGTTTTATCATATGACAGAATGTTTCAAATTCCTGTTTATACGTTTTTAAAAAAGAATATTGAATATATTTGTGCAGTTATGAAAAATAGTGCAAAGAAAAACAATACAAATTCTTTGCAGTTTATGTAGGATCTTTCAAGATTTATGCCAGATTAGGAGAAAAATATTTATTTGATATTTTTGGGTGAGGATAAAAAAGTCCAAGGAACCAATTGGTAAATGTTTTATATTTACTTGCAAGATAATCTAAACAAAAGTTTCTTCAGAAGCAAGAAATTAGTGAAAGATTAAATTTATGATATAGACCTTTCAAGCTAGATTGTAAGCTCTGATCTTTGTAAATGAGTTTAAATTTAGGTCTTTGCATTTTGATTCCTTTTACTTTAGTGAAAATTTTGTAGAGAAGATGGAATTTCCACTCTTTAAAAAGGGTGGAAATTAAGATTGAAGTTGTCTCACAAACATGGGCAGTCTTCTAGATTTAGAATATAATATCAGAGAAAAGAAATAGCTGAAATTTGGAAATTCGGTGAAGGGATCTCTTAGCTAGGGCTACCTGACTAAGAGTGGGTATAGAATAAAAGTAAGGAAGAAAAATTAGGTTTGGGACAACAGAGTGGAGTATGTTGAGGCTGAAGGTGAATAAAGTAGGGGTAATTCAGTAGAATTTCAAGGAGCCATAATGGTAGTGGGAGATGACAGTGGTGATTATATATAATATATATATTTCTTTATTTGAGGAATTGGGTATATGTTATAAGAATGGAAGTTACAGTAGCAACTACCATTTGTGTCATGATTTACAGCTTACAAAACTTTCATATATAAAAATCTTGTGAGATGAGTTGTATTTTCATTTTAGAGAAGGAGCAGAGGCTAAAGAGAATAAGTTCATGTTAAGGGACTTGAGAGAAGTTACAAAAACCGGTAAGAGAGAAAATTAGGGGTATAAATGATAGTATGTTTCTTATCTGCTCCCTCACTTTGGTATCTGTTGCATGCATAGCCCTATGCCTGACTTCTGACTTCCAGGAGCTTGCTTAAAGAAGCAGGAGTATCTCTTTAGGTCAACACTTTTTGAATGAAGTAGGATTGGTTGTTTGGGACTGGATATAAAGCCACATATTCTCTAGTGAGGAATGGCTTCACGTAGAAGTTAGCTTTCAAAATGAGCTTTGCAGAAAGAAGTAAAGATTTGGTAAATCAGAGTTGAGTTGATTTGGGGCACTAAATTAAAAGATAGCATTGTTTACTATTGATGTATGGTAATGAGTATAGGGGGTTAGATTAAGTTCAAATTCTTCGGGGGTAGTGTTCACGTCCCCTTCTTCCTTAATTTAGTCTTTACGCACCTCTTCATCTTCATATCTGTCTGCACTTGAACTAGTACCTGCCCTCCACTGCAGGAGACATGATACTTGTCCATTCATTGTTCTCAGGACTCTTCTTAGTCAAAGGTTCTCTTCAATGTCTCCACTTTTTGAGGTTTTAGCTTAGCATCTCAGCTTTCAGTAATCCTCCTTCTGAACTCATGTGTTTGCCTTTACCACTCTTTGCATTTAGCATAAGCTACACAAGACAGCATTTATCTTTTTATTTATTGATAACTGATCTAAGCCAATTTGGTTATAAGTAGGTGAGGCTTAGTCGTTTACCCACAATTTCACTAACAGATTTTAATGAAATCAGTCTTAGATTAAATTCTAACACAAGTACAGACTTTAAATATTTATGAGTAAGCTAGTACAAAACAGTTCATGTAACCTTACTAGGTGTGATAAAGTGCCAACTCATTGTCCTTTTAGGAAAACTGACAGCACTTTGATGAAATGTTCATTTGAGGCAGAATTCAACAATATTCTAGAGATAGAATTTTGTTACCATTTTAGTTGTCATCAGCCAAATAGAATCCTCTGACTCAGTGAGTAGACACAGGACCTTTTAGGGATCACGCTTTGGATGTCATTCCTAGGGGTGTGGGCTATAGATTTTGCTAGATTCTTATAGCCTGTTCGTGCAAGGAGGAGGTGAATCTAAAATATTTTAGCTTATCCACATTTCTTATACTCTGCTGATTTCACCAGTGAGAGAGAGTACATTTTCAGAAACAAGCCACTAATGTCATTATTAGCAAAATGTCTGGAGTTGATCAGAGATAAAAGATAGTTGAGGCACTTGTCAGAGAGGAGAGAAGATGCTACCCTACTGACTTTGAAGATGGAGGAAGGGATCATGACCCAAGATATGCAGTTGGCCTTTAGAAGCCGGAAAGGGCAAGGAAACGGATTCTCCTTTAGAGCTTCAGGAGGAGTGCCAGCCTGCCCACACCTTGATTTTAGCCTAGTGAAACTGATTTCTAACTTCTAACCTTCAGAACTATAAGATAATAAATCCATGTTGTTTTAAGCTACCTATTTTTTGGTAATTTGTTACAGCAGCCATAGGAAACAACAGTTTTTAAAGAGAGATGAGGGCCGGCCCTGTGGCTTGGTGGTTAAGTGCGCGCGCTGCGATGCTGGTGGCCCGGGTTCGGATCCCGGGTGCGCATCAAGGCACCGCTTCTCCGTTCATCCTGAGGCCGAGTCCCACATACAGCAACTAGAAGGATGTGCAGCTACGACATACAACTATCCACTGGGGCTTTGGGGGGAAAAAATAAAATAAATAAAATCTTTAAAAAAAAAAAAATAAAGAGAGATGAGAAGATATTTTATTTTCCTTCCTGCTTTAGGAGGAGATCTCAGTTTAAACTCCAGAAGAAAGTTTGACCTTTTCTTATGTAGGTGTCTTATTCTTTTTTTTTTTTTGCTGAAGATTTGCCCTCAGCTAACATCTGTGCCAGTCTTCCTCTCCTTTGTATATGGGTTGCCACCACAGCACGGCTGATGAGTGGTGTAGGTCTGCGCCCAGGATCTGAACCCGTGAACCCAGGCCAGAGTTCTAGATGTTGACAAATTTGAAGCAGAGCGTGCTGAACTTAACCACTATGCCACTGGGCCAGCCCCTGTAGGTCTCTGTTCTTAATTCAAAGAGTGTTTGGAGTGAAGTGCTCCAATAAAGTGGTCTTGGACTAGGGTTATCAAGGCCATTTAGTAAATAAGGAGGTTGAAGGTTCATGAAGTGTCAGTTTTACTCAGGTGTTTTTGGGAAAATCACTTCTATTTTTAAATACACATGGATGTATTAAAGAAAATGATGTAGAGTTCTTAGAAATTTTAAAAATAAACCCATGAAAATTAACTCTCTCACAGTAGGCCATTTTGGAGAATAGGGTTCCCAAGACAGGGCTTAAGGAACAGGATTCATTTGTTCCTTACTTAAGTGAAAAATTATAAGCACAGAGTGTGTTTGTTGTCTATGGCTGTGTAACAAATTACCTTAAAACTGAGTTGTTAAAGCAACAGACATTGTCTCACAGTTTGTGAAGGACAGGAATCTGGGTGCCCCTGGTTCAAGGTCATTAGCAGTGCTGTGATCAAGATGTTGGCTAGGGCTGTGTGCTGATCTGAAGCCTTGTCTTGGGGAGGATCTACTTGGAAGATCTCTCATGAGGTCATTGGCTAGACTCAGTACCTTGTAAGCTATTGGATTGAGGGCCTCAGTTCCTTGCTGGCTGTAGGCTGGAACCCTCCCTCAGTTCTTTGCTACTTGGGCCTCTCTCCATTCACAATGTGATGAGAGAAGGTGAGCCAGCTCTGAGCCCAAGAGAGAAGTCTCTTTTTTTTCTGTAATCTAATTTCAGAAGTAACGTTCCATCACCTCTGCCATATTCTATCAGTTAGAAGCTAGTTACTGACTCTAACCTGCACTCAAGAGGAGGGGATGATACAAGGGTGTGAATACTGGGAGGCAGGGATCATTGTAAGCTATTGGTTTTGGCTTTCCTGCCGTTAGTTATGTAACTCTGGTGGCCTGATTTCTGAAATTGTCTTTTCCGGATTTGTTTAATATCAAATTGGCAAGGTTGTTGTGAGAATTAAGTGAGGTCATAGGTATATCTATAAAATGCTTGGCACATAGTAGATTCTGAAAAAGATACCTGTTTTGAAAAAATACAGATAAAGTGGCCAGTGGGTCCACATCTGATTTTTTTTTTATTAGATACTTGATTTGTCAGAGTTCTAGATTTTGACATTCTGAGCATCCATTTTACTACTTCACTTAACTTGGGAGAGTTCTGATAGACTCTGACTATAAAAATTTGAAAATACTAGTATTCTCAAATAATTTATTTGTGGTTCATATGGTTGGTATAACATTAGATATATCCAGGTTGATACAGATTTTTTTTTTTTTTGGTGAGAAAGATTAGCTCTGAGCTACCATCCGATGCCAATCCTCTTCTTTTTGCTGAGGAAGATTGGCCCTGGGCTAACATCTGTGCCCATCCTCTACTTTATATGGATGCTGCCACAGCATGGCTTTACAAGCAGTGCATCAGTACGTGCCCGGGATCTGAACCTGCGAACCCCGGGCTGCCGAAGCGGAGTGCGCGAACTTAACCGCTGTGCCACCAGGCTGGACCCAAATATAGATTTTTTTTTTTTTTTTTTTTTGTGAGGAAGATCAGCCCTGAGCTAACATCCGTTGCCAATCCTCTTCTTTTTGCTGAGGAAGATTGGCCCTGGGCTAACATCTGTGCCCATCTTCCTCTACTTTATATGGGATGCTGCCACAGCATGGCTTGACAAGTGGTGCGTCAGCGCGCGCCTGGGATCCAAACCTGCGAACCCTCAGGCCCCTGAAGCAGAGCTTGCATACTTAACCGGTGCGTCACCGGGCCGGCCCCCAGATATAGATAATTTTAAAAATATAAGTCCCCAAAATAGGGGCTGGCCTGGTGGCATAGTGGTTAAGTTCGTGCGTTCTGCTTCGGTGGCCAGGGATTCGCCTTTTTGGATTCTGGGCATGGACCTAATCACCGCTCATCAAGCCATGCCGAGGCGGCATCCCCTATAGAAGAGCTACGACTCTGCAACTATGATACACAACTGTGTACTGGGGCTTTGGGGAGAAAAAAGAAAAAAATAAAAAAGAGGAAGAATGGCAACAGATGTTAGCACAGGCCCAATCTTCCTCCAAAAAAAAAAAGATTGATTAAAAAATAAGTCCCCAAAATAAAGCTTCATAGTTTGAAATAATTCAGGGAATTTTAAAAAGATGCATAAGCAGTCTGGGAGGAAAAAGTCTCGCCAAGCTAAAATTATTTGCTGTAATTATGATTTATATAATTAAGATGCTCTTCATAGAGGTTTATTCATGTTTGATGTTGGCTTGGTTTAATTATGTAAAATGATTTTCTGTCTCCTCCATTTCCTCCCCCCCTTTTTTTTATTTGGGAGAGGTTAAGAGATTTCCTGTATACAAAAGCTGCTGTACTCTTGTATGGTATTATTAACATCTGAAAAATCACCTGTTGATAAGTAAGAGAACAGAAAGAAATGAAACATAGAATATCTACAAAAGATGGTGTCATTTTTCTGGTACTGTTGAATATGATTAGGTATCATGGTTGGTTATGATCAAAATCTTTTTAGATGATTGAGCTTGGAATGCCAGTATTGTGGCATTTTTATATTCGAGGTTATCTGTATAAGGAAATAACATGCCATTTATGTTAGATGGTATATTTTGGAAAAATTATGGTTGCTTAAAAAAGAAATCCAGCTCCAGCCTCCCAAACAAGCAAACAAACAACTCAAACCATTTACTTTCATTTGGTTTGTTTGAAGTAATTTGAACTATAATTGGGAATGCATATTTAAATGGAAATGCATATTTAAAATTTTTGTTTCAATATATGCAGTTTTTTATTATAAAATATATACAATTTTATTATAAGCTGAGGAAAGGAGAGATATGTTTGTTATCTTATTTTTTTTTTTGTGAGATCAGCCCTGTGCTAACATCTGCCAATCCTCCTCTTTTTTTTTTTTTTTGGCTGAGGAAGACTGGCCCTAGGCTAACATCCGTGCCCATCTTCCTCCACTTTATATGGGATGCTGCCACAGCATGGCTTTACAAGTGGTGCGTCGTTGCACACCCGGGATCAGAACCGGCGAACTGCGGGCCGCCGCAGTGGAGCGCCTGCACCTAACCACTTGTGCCACCAGGCCGGCCCCCCCTTTTTTTTTTTTCTTTTTATAATTTTATTTATTTATTTATTTTCTCCCCAAAGCCCCAGTAGACAGCTGTATGTCATAGCTGCACATCCTTCTAGCTGCTGTACGTGGGACACTGCCACAGCATGGCCGGAGAAGCGGTTCGTCGGTGCGCGCCAGGGATCCGAACCCAGGCCGCCAGCAGCGGAGCGCACGCACCCAACCGCTAAGCCACGGGGTCGGCCCTGTTTGTTATCTTAATAGTTGAATTCTTCCTATTTTTATTAGGGAGTAAGTATTCTTAAATCATCCCAGGACAGTATTCTTTTACTGTTAATCTCTTCTACCACCTTTCACTCCCCTCCTCCTCTGAAGAAATTGTAGAATGATATCCAGTTGCCTAATGGTTAAGGGATAGGAAAGAAACAACAAAATATTTTTGTTATTGTTGGATCTGAATCATTCTCTTACTGCGTTTTCCCTTTTCTCAACACACTCTGCAGTCTCTGATGAGTCAGTGGTTATGGGAATTCTCTGACACTGAACACTTGTAATCTCGCTCTCCTTAGAAGTGTAAGGTAGTATCATATTGTGAGGACGGAGCTTCATTATCGTTAATGTTCTGAGAGTGTGTTCTTTATTTAGTGTTTAATAATTTCATTTAGTAATTTAATCTCTTAAAACATTTAAAGTTTGATTATACTTTGGAGGATCACAGATTGTTTTACAACCTTAAGTCTCAAGCTATTTCTGACTCTCACTTTCGGGTCATATGTGTTTGTGCTTCATGGAAATGAGTTTATCAGAGCTCTCTTGGGTGAAATACAGTTTTCCCCAGATGAATTGCTTGCTTGGGCTTACTTGCCTTTTAGGTTACCTGTTGCACTAAATTTAGGCAATTTTAGTCACCAAATACAAATTCACTAAAGTTAAAACATGGATAATAGTTGACATAATTTTGGGATTGATAGAAGAGTGTTTTTAAAAGTTGCAATACAAATGCTGCTTAAAAAAGCTTTTGTTACTGGCTGTAATTGTGTAGATTTAAGTGAGGTGAATTTGAAATCTGAAAACTTTAAGGTTCAGCTCCTGTGCTGTTCTGTTTGCAATTTACTTAAAGGTAAGTACCAGAAATTCATTTAATAACCTTTCCTGTGTGGCTTATTTCTGATGGCTATAGATTTTATAAATGGCACCTTTATGATTTCTTTTATTAACAGAATTCTGCTTGGTCAGAGTCGTGATGGCATTGTGTTCAGCACTGATGACTATTTTCACCATCAAGATGGGTACAGGTATAATGTTAATCAACTTGGTGATGCCCATGACTGGAACCAGAGCAGAGGTTTGTTTTGGGCCAAGTCTCCTGGGATAGAGTATTTGACTAAGAGTCAGGAGACCTGAGTTTTTATTTTCGACTTGACTTTTACCAGCTGAACGACTTTGGCAAGCCATTTAAACAGCTTTGAGACCCAATTTTTTCATCTTTTAGAAGTGGTGATAATTATACTTGCCCTACTTGATTAAAGTTTTTGTGAAAAATCAGAGAATTTAGATAGACTATTTTGTAAACTTGTAAATAGTATACCAATATAAGCTGGTAAAATAGAGGTGTGGGATATTTTGATAGGCTTTATTTTATACCTCATGAATAAATTCAGAGAACTCTGATACTATCGTTATGTACTCCCAAAAGTTATTTCCCTAAGAGTAATGCTTATGTTTTCTAAGGCTTAATATAATGCCTATGAATATTAAGAGTTTTTCTCGTTGGGGCTGGCCTGGTGGTGTAGTGGTTAAGTTCGCGTGCTCCCCTTTGGCGGCCCGGGGTTTGCCAGTTTGGATCCGAGTTGCACACCTACACGCCGTTTATCAAGCTGTCCTGTGGCAGTGTCCCACATACAAAATGGAGGAAGATTGGCACAGATGTTAGCTCAGGGCTAATGTTCCTCAGGCAAAAAGAGGAAGATTGGCAACAGATGTTAGCTCAGGGCCAGTTTTCCTCACCAAAAAAAAAAAAAGAAAGAAAAAGTTTTTCTCAATGTTACTCTACAAAAAAATATACTTAATATATTTTTTAGAGGCACATGGATCAGTTTCTTTCCATTTTGGGATCGTGGTTCTTAACCTTGGCTGCACATTTGAATCAGTTGGGGACCTTTTAAAAAAAACTTATGCCTGAGTCTTAGCCCCAGATATTCTGGTTTAGTTGGTCTGGAGTGGATCTAAGCATTGGTGTGGTTTTCTTTGAAAGTTATCCAGATATTCTATTGTTGCAGTCAGGATTGAAAACTGTTGATCTAGAACTAAGTAAATGCTTATACTATAACTTCTTTTTAAAAAGATGAAGAATGCATAAAGAGATTACTATGAACCCATCACTCAGAATTATCAGTTTATCAAGATTTTGCTGTGTTGGCTTTATCCTTTTTGTTTTCACTCCCACCATTTTATGAGTTGCTTAAGTATTTTAAAGCAAATTCTAGACATCATACTTTATGCAATTCAAATTAACCTTCTTACTCAATCACATCTTATTTAACTACAATGCCATCATACCTGAAAAACCCAATTCCTTGACAACATGTAGTACTCAGTCTGTAATCGAATTTCCCCTGTTCCCCTTAAATATTTCTGTACAGTTGTTTTGTTTGAAAAAGAATTTGAACAAAGTCCTCACAGTACTTTGTTTTTATGTTCCTTTTAATTATGTTAATCTATAGCAATTTCCCCTCTTTTTGCCATCTCATACCGTTAACTTGTTGCAGAAACTTGGTTGTTTGTTCTATAGAATGCCCCTTATCCTTCAGTTGGCAATTTGCTTCCTTGTGGTAACCATTTAACTTGTTTTTTTTCCTCCTGTATTTCCTTAAATGGAAGACAGCTCTAGACTGGAGTATTTATTAGGTTCAGCTTTTTTTTAGTAAGCAAATGTCTGGTTGTCCCATTTTTAGTGGTGCTAAGATTGATCAGTAGCTTTAAAGGGACAGCCTACTCCCTCCATTGTCAAGTTCCCTATCAACCTTATATTTAATGGTTTTATCTAACAATGAATTGTTTCCTGAATCACTTTTTTCGTTGAGTTGCAGGATGGTGATTTTCTAGGTCTATCATTCCTTCCGTGTTTAGTAGCTAGAATTCTTCTGTAATAATTTCCTCTCACCTAGAACTAGCAACTTGTACATACTGTACCATAAAATACAGTATGTACAAGAAAAACAGGATAAATGCTTTCCTTTTTAATTGTTAATTTTCAGAGTAAAAAATTTCAGTGAGAATATTTTTGAGTAAAAAGTTTAAATGTCAAATAAGTTTGATTCTAAGATTATTTCCTAGTATTGGTTCTATGACATTCTAGGATTTCTCCAAATATGTTAGAGAGTGGCATAAAAATCTCAAAAAATATTAATTTTTTTTTTTAGTGAGGAAGATTAGCCCTGAGCTAACATCCGTTGCCAATTCTCCTCTTTTTGCTGAGGAAGATTGGCCCTGATCTAACATCCGTGCCCATCTTCCTCTGTTTTATGTGTGGGACACCTGCCACAGCATGTCTTGATAAGTGGTGTGTAGGTCTGTATCTGGGATCCAAACCTAAGAACCCCGGGCCACAGAAGCAGAGCATGTGAATTTAACCACTACGCCACCAGATAGGCCCCCTCAAAAAATATTAATTCTTTTTGATTTTTTTTTTTTTGCATACCACAGAACATTACTGTCTGAATGAAATAATGGTGGTCTTGCAGTTCCAAAAGGTGTTTGGAGTTATTGGTCTAAAGTTAAGGGGAATGGGAGTAGGTGACAAGGGGAATGCATAAAGGCAGTGGACAGACCCAGTATTCCTTTGGTAGACTGGGGAGTTTGTGTAAAACATTTTTTCTCTTTGCAATACTAGTCTAGAATATTTCATTAAAATGTTCGTGCCACGTGAATTATACTTGCTGAACAGGATAATGGTGTCTAGATATATTACTGGTTTTATTATCAATGTAATAAGTATGGACTTTTTCAAGGTAATGATAGCTAGCAATTATTAGACATTTTGAAAATTATAAGCATGACATTTTATTTAGGGCAAAATTTCTTTTTGCAACAAATGTTTATTGAATTTTTTTTTTGTGTGTGAGGAAGATCAGCCCTGAGCTAACATCTGCCAATCCTACTCTTTTTGCTGAGGAAGACTGGCCCTGGGCTAACATCCATGCCCGTCTTCCTCCACTTTATATGGGACGCCGCCACAGCTTGGCTTGACAAGCGGTGCGTCGATGTGCGCCCGGGATCCGAATTGGCGAACCCCGGGCCCCCGCAGCGGAGCGTGCGCACTTAACCGCTTGTGCCACCGGGCCGGCCCCTATTGAATACTTTTAAATGCTAGGCACCATTCTGGGAATAATCTGTCTGCCTCGTGTTTATTACAGTCATGCAGTATGTTCTGAGAAATGAGTTGTTAGGCGATTTTGTCCTTATGAGAACATTATAGAGTGTACTTAGACAAACCTAGGTGATATACCTACTACACACCTAGGCTATGTAGTATTAGTCTTATGGGACCACTGTTGTATATGTGGTCCATCATTGACCGAAATGTCGTTATTTGGCACATGACTGTGGTAACAGAATCTAAATTCATCTTAGACAGGTTATAAATTGAAAGCATCTCCAAGGGGTCATTATTCTCTTTCTTGGAGTATGATGGTTAATTTGTTAAAGAAAATGACTCTTCATTATTTGGGTATTCAATCGTTGTTTACTTAGGAGCTCTCTTCTCCTGGAATGCATTGGAATGTTGTATTGAATGATGATTATTCATGGAAAGAAGACAATCTCATTCTTGCAAATCAGAGAATTATTTGGTTAATAAGCTCCTCTTCTAGAACGTAACTCCTTGGAGGTGTAAGCCTAACTATCAGACATTAGGAGAATTACTTTAATGTTTTTTTTTTAATGAAAGATTTGATCACTGTTTTTTTTTTTTTTTTTTTTTTTAAAGATTTTATTTATTTATTTTTCCCCCAAAGCCCCAGTAGATAGTTGTATGTCGTAGTTGCACATCCATTCTAGTTGCTGTATGTGGGACGCGGCCTCAGCATGGCTGGAGAAGCGGTGCGTCGGTGCTCGCCCGGGATCCGAACCCGGGCCGCCGGCAGCGGAGCGCGAGCACTTAACCGCTAAGCCACGGGGCCGGCCCTGATCACTGTTTTTTTTTTTTTTTTAAAGATTTTTTTTATTTATTTTTCCCCCAAAGCCACAGTAGATAGCTGTTTGTCATAGCTGCACATCCTTCCAGTCGCTGCACGTGGGACGCGGCCTCAGCATGGCCAGAGGAGCCCAGCGTCGGTGCACGCCCGGGATCCGAACCCGGGCCGCCGGCAGCGGAGCGCGCACGCTTAACCACTAAGCCACGGGGCCGGCCCTCTGATCACTGTTTTTGATTGAGGATGGAGTAATGGGAGATGATAGCATCTTGGTATCCTATTTATGACCCAAATTCTAAATTTCTTTTGGTATTTAGAGACGTCTTCTCCCAAATACGTATGCCACCATAGTCATTGCTACTTAATTAACCTTTAGAATTGTGTCTGCCCTTAGACATCTGTATGTTTTCATTACGCAGAACTTAGCAGTTTGAATTCTAAATCACAGCAAAACTTCCATATCATTGTATTTTACCTCAGCCTTTTGAATTTTATCGTGGGTTCTTAATGATATTTCTTGTCTGTTTACACTGAAGGGGTACACACACTCCTGTCATTAACAGTAGCTCACTGTGGCAGTGATTCTCACCTCATGGGGGAGGAGATGGTGTACAGATAGGGAGATACAGTTGAGAAAAGTTTCGTTTTATCTCAGCTCTCAATTTGAGAATCATAGTCCTAAGAAATATCCACAAAGTCAGTTGAACTGTGGTATTTAGCTACTTGGTATATAAAGTTTCGCTGGCAAGTAACAGTAAATTCATAGCACTCTTTTTTTTTTTTAATGTAAGTCTTTCTTATTTCAAAAGCATTATTTGTAATTGTAGAGCATTGGAAAATACAGATAAGCATAAAATGCAAATCTTCCCATCACCTACAGATGACCAGTTTTGATATCTTAGTAACTTTTCCCAGATCTTTGTATTTTGACCAAGATCAGATCATACTTACATATTGTTTTGTAACTTGCCATTTTCAGTTAACAATCTCAATCTTTCTGTGTCAATAAATGTTCACCGCTTTTCATACTCAGACCATATTCAAATATAACTTGTTCCTGTATTTCCTATAAATGAAAGTTAGCTCTAGACTGAAGGCTTCATTAGCTGTAAGTTCAACAAAATGTTTTTCCCAAAGTATCCTTTACGGCTAATTTGTCAAAACCAGCATCCAGTATGGAGAGTACACGTTGCATGTCATTATGTCTCTTAATTCCTTTTTAATCTAGCAGAGTCCTTTTTTTTTCATGGTACTGACTCAAGAGATTGCAGTTTTGGTTTTAAGTACAGAGATGTAGAAAATTTCTTAATAATTAATGTTTAAATTTTATTTTGTGTATTTTAAACTAATAGTTCTGCTTTTTGTTTTTGTTTTTTAAATTTGTTTTTTATTTCAGCAAAACAAGCTATCAATCAGGGGAGATCTCCAGTTATAATAGACAACACTAATACACAAGCTTGGGAAATGAAACCATATGTGGAAATGGTAAATATGAAATATGAGAGAGTTTTTATATTTTATTCTTGTCAGTTTTTTCATGTTCTGAAATTTTGGTTACTTTGAGCTTCATTATTAAACCATTTGTCCTTGTTTTCTAAAGAGATGTGTTCATTTGCTTAGTTTTTAAAAAATTGGGAATGGTACTTATTAAGGAATATGCTCATCTTGTTAGTTTTGTCTGGGCTTGAGAGTAGTAATTGGAATTTGTCCAGTTAAGTGGTCTTAAAATTGTTATAAACCATATTATTTTAAAAGTAAATTTTTTCTTTGAGCAAATTTAGAAGTATTTGAGCAAATACTTCTTTGAGCAAATTTAGAAGTATTGTCTAAATGATTGGTTGAGCAAATTTAGAAGTATTGTCTAAATGATATCTGTCTTGCGTTCTTTTTACTTTAAGAAATATTCTCTGGGTATTTGTTTTCTTCCTTTCCTTTGTGTAGGCCATAGGAAAAGGATACAGAGTAGAGTTTCATGAACCTGAAACTTGGTGGAAATTTGATCCTGAAGAATTAGAAAAGTAAGGCACTCAATTTTTTTTGAATTCTTCTTGTTTTTTCTTTCTTTTCTCTTTACATGGTCCATTTCTTTACTGACTTTTGCTTGTCATATCTTTGCTACTTGTGAATGGGGACTGCTGTGTCTCACTTTCTGTTAAGAGGAACATTGACTTAAATTCAAGGTTTTTGAGGCATCTTGCCTTGTTAAATTTTATTAAATTTTCTTTGTCAAGTGTGTTTGTTAACTTTTTCTTATGTATATTTCTACATTGTTTCACAGTTTGTGGAATGCTAGTGGAGATCCAGAAAACTTGGAGGGAAAAATTAGGACTTTTCCCTCTGTTTTTTGCTAGGCCACTTTTCTGCATTGCCTTTCCAATTTCATCTCTTTCCCATTTTAGGTCCCATCACCTTTTTACCTGGTGCTTTCATCTTGCTCCCTCTTTTCCATCTTTAATACTAGAAATCCGTAATTCTATAACCAAGATCCTTGGAATCAGTGTGTTTTACAATTCAGATTTTTTTGGGGGTTTTAGAAAGGTAATATAGGGGTGCATATTCCTAATCATAACACCACTAGCAGAGTTTGGGGCAGCATGTCATAATCAAACATCTTAATATTTCTGTAGCAAATCATGACTAGTCAGTCTAAGTAGATAAGTAAGATTCTACATAATCTAGTGTTAGTTCTGAGTAGATCGTGCTGCCAAATAAGTACAGATCTGGTTAGAGTTTGTTACCATATGAGTCAACAGAAAACTGAGTTTTCAGAGCATTTTAGGTTTCAGAATTTGTGATGAGGGATTGTGGGCTTGTATTACTTTCAGCCCTGCTCTTCCATTTGTGTTTACCTTTGTCCTTTTCCTCTCATGTCACTGGTTTTCCTGACTATGACTCTTTTTTTCTTTCCTCACTTTCACTCCCTCTCCCCTGTTTGGTTAACAACTTTGAGATGTAATTCACATACCTTACAATTTACACATTAAAAGTGTACAATTCACTGGTTTTCATTGTATTCACGGAGTTGTGTAACCATCACCTCACTTATTTTAAAACCAGTTTTTTTCTCCCACCTCCGTTTGCCCTCTTGTAGCTAAAAGCTGTTATTCTGTGTATGTTGGCTGGCTAGTTGGCTTCTTTCCCCCTTGCCTTTCATTCCTTTGGTTACTTTTCTTTCCCTTTGTGATTTGCACGCTATGTGTTCATATATGAATAGATATACTAATAGATTTATTAATATCTTGTATTGTTTGCCTGTCTCTGTGTGTGTATTGCACCTCAGTTAGAAGAGACAGAAGTTTAAAGATATTTGGGTTATGCTGAATAAATGAATTGATGCAATTGTTATACAGTTAGGCTTCATTTACATTTGAGGACTGTTGAAATTTATTAAAATTCTTAGTATAAATTGACTTTACAAAATAAAGTCAGTTTAACTGATATCTAGCATAGTTTGACAGATTTTTTTGTAAAAAATTGATTGAATCATTAATTTTGACATCATGTGGAATTAGTCATATTTTGCCAATTTTTAGCCTCAGATCTCTTTTTTTTGTCTTCCATTTTTTCTCTCTTTCTTTTCTCATATTGAATGTAAACATCAATAGTTTTGAGAAGTAAACATTTCTTTTGTGTCCTTCTGGGAAAAATGAAGTAGCATTAATAAATCTAGAACTATAACATTAAATGTAAAATATGTTCCGTGTGTTCTGCCATGTCCAAGTCAAGTTACAGAAAACAACAAGGGTAAAATAAATTGTAAAAAGTTCTTTGAGGGTCAAGAATAATTTTTAAATCACTCTTTGTTGTCATAGTTAAACTCACAGAAAAGTACATAAAATACAAATATACAGCTTAACAAATTTCTTATAAGGCAAATAATCATTTAACCATTACCCATGTCTTGAGAGCATTATCAACACCTCAGAAGTTCTTTGAATTCCTTTTCCCAGTAACAATACCCTGGTAATTACTTCCTTGCTTTTCTTTAAAGCATCTTTTCTTTTTTCTAAAACATCGTTTGCCTTAACACTGTAGTTTAATTTGTTTTAAACTCTATATAAATAGAATTATAAAGTATGTATTCATTTTGTCTAGTTTATTTCACTCAACATTATGTTTGTGAGATATGTCCAAATTGTTGTATCTATAGTAATAATAATTTGGTAGTGATTATAGGTTTTAAAAATGCAATAGGAAGTATCCTAAAATAACTTTTAAAAAGTGATATTTTATATTGATTTTTATGAGTCTTAGAAGTCCACTCAATTCTACTGTAATTCTCAAAATGGTGTCTCATAATCTTTGATTTTGTTATTAAAAAAGGGGAGAGATTAACTCATTAGTTCAATGAATTGGTAGGTAGTTCTGTAAGAAGATATAATCAGTTAACACTTTTGCTGTGATTTATGGTATCTTTAAACCTTTTAAAAATATTGTTAAAAACTTCTGAGAGAGCCGATAGAATTTTTTTTAAATGTGGATAAATGAGATGTATCTTCTAATATTTATTTGCAAAATATAATTTAGAATCTGTACTCTGTTACTCAGAACAGTTTAATCTCTAAGCCTATACATTCTTAAAAAAGAATTAAAATCCTTTTCTTTTTTGGTAGGAGGAATAAACATGGTGTGTCTCGACAGAAGATTGCTCAGATGTTGGATCGTTATGAATATCAAATGTCCATCTCTATTGTAATGAATTCAGTGGAACCGCCACACAAAAGCACACAAAGACCTCCTCCTTCACAGGGGAGACAGAGGTGGGGAGGTTCTCTAGGCTCACATGATCAAGTCTGTGTTACAAATAATCTTTAAGTTGGCTATTTTCAGCTAACACATTTATTCTTTGCACTTGAAAAAAATTAGTGAGCCTGTCTTGAAGTTTAAATAGTTCCCCCCCAAAAAAAGACTACGTTGCCTCACAAAGGGTATTCCCAGCAAGTTTTTTAAATTCTAAAGTGTAAATAAAAATTTATATAAAATTGTATTTTAAATGTTTTTATAATGTTTTGTTGTAATACTTCTGGTTATTATGAAAACACCTGAGTAGAGTGGATAAGAATTAGAATGTTTTTCTACAATTGAATTTTAAACTAATTTTATCTATTTGTAGATAATGTTGAGCAATTTTATGGTTCATACCTAAATCTAATTTTTCATAAAATTTTAATATTTTTCCTTGGCTGCCTTATATATCCAAGAAATACTAACTTGTTATAGGCAAGTTTTTAGTTGATTCCTCTATTCATTATACAGGTAAAATTATCTTTCTGCAGATTCATCTGTGTGACAAAAATATTTCTGAGCTATAATTAGCATATCACTTAGTTAAAACAAAATTCTCCATCGAATGACATATAGTAGGTGTATCAATCACCTGGGGAGTTTTCTTAATATACATATTCATAATATAATACAATATATACATATTCATTATCCTTGTTCTCAAGCTATGCCCCTATTCCCTCTACTCCCCAATTCTGTAATGGATAAATAGAGAAATCACTATATAGGTTAGAAAAGGCTGCTCAGGCTATTGTGAAATATATCACTTTTCTCTGTTTAATTAAACAGTATAATTCTAATATAAAAAATATTTTGGACAGCTCCTTAGCATTAATTGTAAGATTTGTCCTCTAGGATATTTTATTTCTCTTGGTTTTAATTTTTCTGTAGAGCCAATTGTATTTTGCATTGGATAGTTTTCTTTATTAGATTGTATTCCTTCACTTAAAATTTAAAGACTGGGATTCAGTTCGTTTCGGAGATCTTGTACTTTATCCTAATCTTTGCTTTGCTTTACTCTTTTTTAGGGAAAAACCCCAGCTAATTACATGCTATTTAAAAAAGTAATCATTATGATCCTTCTTATGTTTTACGTGATAATATTTCATGGCCCTTAAACTTTCTTTCTTGAATCCCATAATCTTTCTTCATATGTTGTTTTAAAACCTTTTGCTGTTCTTTTCAACTGAACTTTAAATGTTCTGCCATATCTTTATATTGCTTTTTAAATAATATTAAGTTATTAAGTAATATTAAGTTGCAAGGCACAAAACTAAGTGTGGTACTCTTCAGCAAGGTCTTTATTACATTGCCTTTAGTGAAATAAGCATATGATTTCTATTTGTTTGTACTATTCAATTTTATTACATTTGAATGGGTATTACCTTGCTTTATTTGGTTTAACACATGTCTATCTGTATGTATTTGTTCATCTTAACTAAATATGATGTAGGAAAATGCTAACTCATGTTTCGTGTGTAAATGTATACATATTTATTTATACATACACACATTTCCTTCATCCACTATTTTCATATATTCTTTTGTTTCAGAGTAATACTTCTTGGTATTTGGGCTTTTGTTTCCCAGTATTTTATTATGCAAATTAGCACATTTTGAAAATAGTACAGAAGAATTTAATTTTGGGACAGGTGAAACAACTGTTAATGTATACTGTGTGTCCCTTTCCATCTGTCTTTGTAAAACTTTGTTTAGGAGTAATAGTACTATAAATCTACTATTTTTGAATAATAGACTCTTAATTAGCCAAATATATTTTGCAGAAGTAAAGAATTGCCTTTGGAAGATACCAATTATGAGGAAACGTGTTCATGTTAGGTAGTAAGTCTAAAGTAAATTTCCAGATTTTATTTACAGACTCAACTTCATCTCCTAGTACTTCTGAGTACTAAATAATAATCATGCAGAAGATCATTAGTCATTACTGATTATTTTTTAAAAATTATAAATGCTTATTGAGGTAGGGAAATTAACATTCTGAAAGAGTTTCACAGGTTTTTTTTTAATGACGGAAAATTAAATTAATTGTTCCCCCAAACATTCTGGCTAGTTTTATTTTTATTTTTTGAACAATAACAGAATAGAGGAATGAATATGCAATAAAAGATACCTAAAGTCATAAGTCATTGCTTGATGTTAAAAATCTATAAAAATATGGAATTTATCAATTAAAGGTTTTTCATCAAAATTTTTTCTTCTATTCAAATATATTCTTTTTTTTTTCTTTAATTAGATATGTTCTTAATGGAATAGCCCCCAGTTGCTACCCCCCATCCTGAGTTGGTCTCCACCACAAAGAATAAACTAGGTATTAGTTGTCATATTTAACTGAGATGAAATACATTTAGTTAGGCAGAATACAGCTTCTAGTTTGGTTCAGAAAGATTAAGTTGTTTTTTTGTAGGCTTGGTGTAAAAGTCAAAATTTAAAAATTTCTTTTTGATAAGCAAATTTACAGTTTTCTATATGTCGTAATCCTGCTAGTAAAAATACTTGTGTGGTAATTAAGTTGAACTTTTGGTACTGCTTTTTGAATGGATAATCTTTATTTTCAGTATTCACCTTTCTGAAAGGAAGTCTCATTTTTAAAATATTTTATGTCTATTTTAAAGTAAGATTGCTTACAAAAGGTTGGGTTGTATTTTATTGTTGGAGTAATAGGATGGATTCAAGTATTTGAAGTTTGCTTAGCTCTTGTCTAATTAATATAGATTATGGGATTTTCTAGTTTTATGTATAGATACATTTTGAAAGAGCTCATTTCAAAGGATATAAAATATTTGTTCTAACTATATTTGAGTTTTTGTTGTTGCAGAAATTACTGATATTCTGAGCCTGGTTTCCTAAATATTTACAAAAAAAATAGGTGGTGTTCTCTTTGGAAAATGTCAAAGAAATGTGGTTTTTTATGTATTAGCGCTTTGACCAGATAGGCTTACTAGCCTTTTTTTTTTTTTTTTAATTTTATTTATTTATTTATTTTCCATTCAAAGCTCCAGTAGATAGTTGTATGACATAGCTGCACGTCCTTCTAGTTGCTGTATGTGGGACGCGGCCTCAGCATGGCTGGAGAAGCGATGCGTCGGTGTGTGCCCAGGATCCGAACCCGGGCCGCCAGCAGCGGAGCGCGCGGCCACAGGGCCGGCCCCAAGCTTACTAGCCTTTATTTAAGTTTTATATAGTAGTCTAATATTCTGAATACGGTAACTGAGAATTCAGTTATTAGGGCTAAAGTTTTTGTGTGTGTATTTTTGTTTTGTTTTAACATCTGCAACCCATATAAATAGAGTAATGCTTCTTAGTCTAAAATCATAAAGTATTACTTAGTTTTGTTACAATGACTAGAATAAATATTTTGTGGCAGCAGAAAAGAGCAGATTGAGTGAGTAGTTTTTAGAGTTAAGTTTTATAAGTTACAATTTATAAGTAAAAATTTTTTCCAGTAAAACTGTTAGCTGCAATTCTTGTGAATTTACAGGGAAAGGAGAGATTATATTAAGGGATTAATGAGTATCTTCTTTGGTGATGGTTTTCTTTCCTTTTACCAATTGAATAAGATTGGCATACCAATTTTTATTTATTTATTTTTTTTATTTTTTTAAAGATTTTATTTATTTATTTTTCCCCCAAAGCCCCAGCAGATAGTTGTCTGTCATAGCTGCACATCCTTCAAGTTGCCGTATGTGGGACGCGGCCTCAGCATGGCCAGAGGAGCGGTGCGTCGGTGCGCACCCGGGATCCGAACCCGGGCCGCCGGCAGCACAGTGCGCGCACTTAACCGCCAAGCCATGGGGCCGGCCCCCAATTTTTATTTTATTTTTAAAATTAAGGTACTGTTAAAACAATTGATCTCCTTGTACGTATACCAGATTTTCTCCTTAACATACCCTTTGGATGGTAAGTAATATTAGGTTGTTATAGATTCTGAAAGGAGTAACTAGTGATGATGTAATTAGTAATGGCATAATTTTTGTAATAGAATATACATGTATGTAAGCTCAATTTTGAGTATATCTCCTGTAGAAGTTCTTCATACATTGTCATTATCAAATTATGCTCAGAAAAAGGGGAAAGAGTAGCACAAATAACTCTGAAAGGAAGCCTCAAGAGTAAATAGAGAGTTCTTCTCAAAGTTAAGGCTGTGTCTGTTGGAAAGTTTTGACTTTGGTACGTATAATAGAAGGAAAGTCATTTAGATTAGAAATAATCTCTTTTTCTTCCCCTTTGTCCTAATTTTGTTCTCTGAATGATAACCCTGTCACATTCCAGGCGTGATAATTGCAATAACAATATTATACTCTTCCTAGTACAGAATCCATTAACTTCAATAAGCTGTCTTAAATTTAAGTACCAGTAAAATAGATTATTTTGTCTAGCATGGACACAGCTGTAGTCTGACCCCTAATCTTAGAGCTAGACACAATCACATTAACAAGCATCATACCGAAAATTTTGGTGAGTAGCTGAAGACTTCATCTAGGAGTGTTGTCCAGTTGTTAATATTTCCGTGTGTTTTTTTTTAGTTGAAATTCTTTTTGTAAATTACTGGGAAGATTGAGAGATTTTGAGATGACCTATTGGGTTTTTTGCCTCCCAACTTTATTAGTAACTAAGGAAAAAAAGTAAGAATAATCTGTTCATTCATGGTTAAAATTCTGTTCAAGTTCAGTAGAGTCCATTGAAATACACTTTATTTGGATTATTTTCTTATTTTGCATTTTTAACTATATTCTCAGGACATATAAAAGTAAAGTTTTACTCTTGGGGTTAGTTCATCTACAACTAATAATTATAATCATTGTACAGCTTTGTTAGTGTGTCTTCAATTGTAATTCTGAACTCATTAGTTTTATTAGTATAACAAAATGAAAGAAAATTTGATTGTGGGTTCTTACTCCCCTTTTATTCCTCTTTTTTCTCTTTTGTTTTTTCTGTCTTTCTTAATAGTGTTAGAAATCATGTTTCTTGTTTCTTTCATAGTCTTTTCTGTACACATTTTCTTTTTCTTCTGTCCATTTTCTGCTCAGCATTTTCTGCTCAGCTATCCTCATGTAACTTTATAACATTTTTAAAGAAGATGTTGGGATGGTAAGTGGCTGACAGAAGTAGAGGTAACTTTTTTCCCTCTTCTGTGTTCCACTGAACTCCTTGTTGGTAATGAACCTTATTTAACCGTGTTAAACTTATAGACCACAGATTTGCAGTTAGTTCCTGACCGTATTGTTTAGGCAGAACTTTACTATGAAAATACTTGGAAAGGTTTATAAAAATCTATCAATGTGTTATTCATTGGTTAGGAATCCCATAAACATGGCATAGTACTTGGATATATGGATTTGAGAAAAAACTCTTTTACAGTACTTAAGCATCGTGATGATAGACTAGTTGATAAATAGTAGTTAGAGATAGACTGTAATGGAATTCACTATTATGTCATGATTCTTCAATCTGCCCTTAAAGAACTGAATGATTTTGAAGGAAACCTGATAGCTATCTTGAGTTCAACTTCTACGAATGGTTCTTCGTATTCTGCA